TGGATACTACTTCGACATTCGTCGACCCGAACACTGTCCATACCGTACAAGTTGTTTAATTTCGGATCTGGAGTTTATTACTTTTAACTTGGATTCACCCCTTGTCTATTTATTAAATCGGTTAACTAAAAGGGTTTAAAACTTTTTGATCGAACAATAATATTCAAAACTATTCGGAACAAACGAGGATGTTATAGAGAGGGGTTGACTGTACTATATTCTTGGTGGGGTTTGGAATTTGGATTAATTTTTTGCATTGTGTTAAGATTAAGCTGTTTTTTTCCCCTTAAAACAAATGCCACCTTAGCTTTGTTACCAAACAAAGTTTGTTGCCTCCTTGTAGTGAGTGCAATGATGGAAATCATTTGGATCGCAGTTATGATGGGATGCATTGCTTACTCCGTATAGAACCCAACGAGTTTATGGGGTGAACGTGCGGCCCTGGGTGCAGCCAAATCCATATCGCTATACATATTTTAGTTTAAAAATTATTAATAGTATACTGTTATAAAACAATAAAAGAAGAAGAAGAGTATTGCAGAGAAAAGTAGAGGGAGAGAATTCTTATTGATTTGGGATGAATTACAATGGAATAGAACCCTCTATTTATAGGGAGATGGTGACTTAGCCACCAAATAATAAACCCTAGAATCTCTCTAAATATAGACATTCACCATAAATAGAACTCTATTTATAACACTCCCCCTTGAATGTCTATTCAACAGATAATGTGCCTCGTTAAAACCTTAACTAAAATAAAACCCAGTGGGAAAAAAATTCTAGAGAAGGAAAAAGAGTACACATATCTAACAGTACGCCTTTTGGTTGCCTCGTTAAAAACCTTGCAAGGTAAACCCAGTGGGACAAAACCTTGTAAGGAAAAAAGAGTACAACGCGTATTAACTCCCCCTGATGAGAGCATCACTTCACATCCTTAAGCATTTGCATTCCAATCTTGTGCACCATCTTCAAAAGATCTTTGGTAGATATTTGATAAACAAATCAGCCATATTAACTTGAATGAATATATTGCACCTTGAAATCATCATTCTCGATAGAGATGGATTGTCTTCATATGATCTTGTTGGAATCGTCAGTTCAATATCTTCACATAGAGGTGAAAACTCTTGCTATCATATTATCATGCATATAGTTATAGCAAGATACATTGGTGCACAAATTGCATTGAGGATGTAGTACTTCATGACCATGAATTCTATATGCTTTAAGCAATTTAAATCCTTCAAGGATTTTTAAGTCATATAAGTCATATAATAGACTTTAGATGTATACCAAGTTTTCATGTCATGCTAGATATATTAGATATCGAAAACTGATTGCACATACCATTGACTTTATACTTTAAAGTGTTTGAACTACATGTTCAAAACTACATGTCTTTCATATGAAACCAATTCTATTCGAATTGTTTCTTCAGACTTAAGATCATCATATATATATAATTAGCGCTATCATAGTTGTCGTCGACAAACATTTTATATGAGTTTCAATATATTTTCATAAAGACATAACATAGAGATCTCTTCATTTTGTATTTTCAGGTACCTGAATCTCTCCTGAGATTTAGTATTATGTCATGCGATCTTCTAGATCACTTGCCTCCTTTATTATGATCATTTAGATCATTTGCTCATCTTCTTTATCAAGAAGTTTATTTGAAACCGATCGTCTATACACTTTAAGCTTACCATAGACTTTGTCCTTCTAGGACTTAATAGGAGCATTTGCAATGAGAATATAGTTACTTTCTTTAGGTCAGCAAATGCGTCTGGCATGCTTTGCAATATATTGGAAATGAATTATCCTTTTATGAACTTCAAGTTCATATTATCTTATTCGAGGATCTAGATGTACAAAGGATAATTCATTCCACGTAACTTTTTCTCAACTGTTTATCATGTCTCCCCCTCATGTTAGAAAAACTAACTTGTTTCCTCAACTTTGAGAACCCATCTTTGTGCGTTATGGTGTTAATCAATATATACACCGCACATTAATAATAATAAGATGGAATTATTTGGTTCCTGACCCTGAACCACTTGTGAGGGGAGAAAATAATGTACTTTCGTATATAACGTATATCAAACTGATATAGATAACTTTGTTCTCATAAGCAATAGTTTAGCTATTAAGTGGAGGCACTCAATAAATCATTTTGCTAAACCAACTGTGATGTAAACCAACTTATCAAGAAGAACTATCTTGAATAAAAAATCTGGAAATTATGCTCTGTATTAAATTATTGAGCAAGTTACCTCGCAAACACCAGGTTGCGGGTCAATAATAATTACACATGTAACCATCTCATAGATGCATCTTATATGGTATACATGGTAGGTGAATGAGCCCATATTCACCTTTGATATTTCCAGCATTCATGGGATCCAATCCCAATTTTAGTTGATCTATTAATTGATGAGAACAGACAACATAAGAGAATTCGTAAAGAACTTTCTAGTTCTTTAATATTTACCCATGTGAATTCTCTTTTATTTTTGCACATCATACTTAAATTGATATGGGTAAACCAATTATGCCAACTGAATAAATTATCAATATTGATAAACTTCAGATTTACGCCATGACGTGTGCAATTATCAATAAACTCCAAGTTTATTATGATATGGGTTTTTATATCAATAAATACCCACTTCATTGTGGTATTCTTTTGTTTATGTAGTACAAATTGGAGAATAAAGCGGGTAGCTTTTCACATATATATTACCCCGCTACAAGTTGAAGTAATAGAAGATATTAAATCTTTCCTTTATTTATAGTCTCAATATAATCAACCGCTTTCGCGTATACTTTGGAAACTGAATAAGTTTCTTTGAGACTTACTACAACACAATACCTTATTGGTAATTAATTGTGTTTCTCCAAAATAGTATAATTGGCTCTTGCAGAGTTCTCAATTAATTTTGTAGTACCACATATTCATCAACACCCGTATGGTGAATATCTCTTTTAAAGAGAAAGTTATACCATTATGGTTATGGTCAAAATTATATGCAAGATATGTTTCTTGCATTACGTTGTCTTTTAATAATCACAATGCCAAAATATTTTGGCGTACAATAGGTACGTGACCAATGACCATTCATGCCATTCTTAAATCATCTCAAACCTCCTTTTAGAGGTGAGTGCGGTATATTCACTACCACTAGCACGTTCATATTCTTTGAAGAATGAATATGTATTCATAAATCAGATGTTGTCACATTCACATCATGAATAGACCATAATCATCTATATGTGCTTAATAAAATCTCATGTCAAATCGATGACAAATATTACTTTCACAGAGTGAAAGATTATTTTGAGAATCCTTATTATTCTCATTATCACAATGATGACGATTATAATTTCGTCTATTGCCACGTCCACATCCATTGATACCTTCACGGTAATAATTTTATCTTCTTTCAGACTTATCACATATTGCTATCACATTCTCTTAAGGGAATGAGAATGGAGCAAATTCAATGGGACGGGTTTTCACTTTTTGTGCTCACGATCATACATGACTTTGATCATGGCAAGACATAGAAATTTTACCACTTCAGGTGGTTATAATTTCTTACAAACTCCATTAGAGTTATAATCAAACTTTGTTGTCTTTGCTTGTATATAAAATCAAATTATAGAATTTCAAGAATATAAAAGAGTAAAATAAAGTAAAATACTTACCTTAAATCTAAAATTTAATCATGAAGGAAGTTCATGGAATAATTGACAATCATTATGCTCAATCCCAAAGCTTCTACTCAATTGGTTAGAGTCTCGTGCTGATAACGTGTTATAAAACAATAAAAGAAGAAGAAGAGTATTGCATAGAAAAGTAGAGGGAGAGAATTCTTGTTGATTTGGGATGAATTACAATGGAATAGAACCCTCTATTTATAGGGAGATGGTGACTTAGCCACCAAGTAATAAACCCTAGAATCTCTCTAAATATAGACATTCACCATAAATAGAACTCTATTTATAACATATACAATAATATTAAATTTTAATTTGTAACTTTGTTACAAAATCGAAAATTGACATTGTTACTAATTAAGATACTAATTAGCGACCAATTAATCCCATTAAATTAACAATCTTTCTAATGACAACAAAGCTCTATCCAAATTTGCCTACATTATCGACTTCCGAATGTAAAAGTATCGTGTATTTATTGACTTAACATGTTAAGATTCCCAGTTTGCAAAATCATGAAGGTAGTGATATTTTGCATTTATTCTAGTTTGTATTAATAAAAGAGAGACAGAAGGAAAGATATATCCCAAGTAATATTGTTTCTTTAGACGTATAATGCAAACCTAATACATCAACATGATTAGGGTTTTCTTATATAGATAAACCTACCGTAGAGTAGAGGAGCCGCAATTACTGCAATTAAAGCTACGTATTTTACAAACATTCGTACTGACTAAGATTTCATCATTCTTTCCCTCATAAAAATCTTCTGCAACTTCACTCTTTATTATCAATGCATTCGTAAAAACTTACATGCTCGTCATGTTTATTTAACATCAAATAAATGAATACCTCAGCATTATTATTGTTAAGTAGTAGTATATATTCTCATTTAAATAATAATTATAACTAATATTAATTTGTTTGAATTAAAATATAAGTATTTACCTTATATTTTAGCACTCTTTTCATTGTTGTTGACGAAGGGAGTAAGTTAGCTTGTTTTGGCAGAAAATAAAACATCTTTCCAATATACCAATTGTGTGTTCCAATAATAATAATAACAATAGAACAAAAGGAGAAAACAATAAACCAAAAAGAGAAGTATATTACTGAAATTAAAGATCGGAGCCAACATTAATAAATAAAAAAAACAGACATTAAAATGGAAAAAGAAAAAGGCAACAAAGACTGTTCCTGTTTCCTATTATATGGAGTACCTTTTTCCCTTCCTTTTGTCTCCTCTTTTTTTTTCCCCCCTTCCTTTTGTTTCCTTTTTTCCTTTCTTGGTTTCGTTTCTGTTCTAACAGTAGAAGTGAAAAATATAAAACAAGTTGATCAGCAGTTATCTATGTCTCTTGGTAATATTTTACTTCCATTTTTATCTCTTCCTTCCACCGTTCAGTTCCTATTTTGCTTTTAATCAAACTTTCTTCTGTTTCTTCTCCTTTATAGGTATGTTTTCTTCATGCATGTGATTTAGTTCTACCCTATTAATCAGTAATTTATGTATTACTTTGTTCCTCTTACTTCACATCTTTATAATCTCTCACACACACACACCATGATTGAACAAAGCGGATAACTTCGTTCTGTTTCAGTGTTCGTTTTGTTCTATATTACTGCTATGCTTTTTGTTGTCGTATCAAATTTCTCCCTTTCTTAATACTGTGAAAATTCCTGGGATATTCTAATTGTGAGTGATTAGTGGTCCTTGCTCTATTTACTAATTATTGGTTGTCATAAAAGCTTGTCTTTTTTTTTTTTCTTTTTTCTTTCCTGATTTTGGCCCTTTATTTCAGTTTTAAGGTATCACAAAAAAACTATATTCTTTTTCTAGTTAAAATGAAGTTTGCATCTCATATTTTCCTTTGCTAACTATGCATGATCTGGAAAATTATTGTGCTGCCTGTTACTCACTGTGTTATTTATGTATGATGGTACTTATTAGACACAAAGTTTAAGATATAGTTTAAATGGAGAAACATGATCAGTGAGAATTCATATAGCCGATTCGACTTGTTTGAGATTGAGGCATATTGCTAAAGTTTAAGATATTAATTTGACTTATATGATAGGTAATTGGAGAAAAGGTTGAAGTATAGTTGAAAAATTAGTACGATGGAAAAGCATCACATCAAATTTTAAATCTTGAATAGTTTAATGAATTTGAATTCTTGAAATTCGTAAAAACTGTTTACCCACTGAGTGATGTCAAAGATTTTGGAACGTTCAATAGTGTCAGATAATTGAAGAAATGAATTATTAATGTACCAAGTATTTCTGCTATTTTTGGCTAGGCCTTTGAATTTGTGGAGATGGAGAAAGAAAAGGTAAATGGCTCTCCAGACACAGTTTTGGAGGACTTTTTGAGGAATGCAGTATCAGAATCAGACTCTTCAAAAGCCAGCACTTCAGAATTGGAAGCTGCAAAACATCAGAGATTTGCTTCCAAATGGGCTGGATTTCTTGAGCTATTCAGAACTAAATCAAGAAGATACATAGCTAAGGATCCTCTAAGTTCTCTCAAACTATCGAAACGATTTAGTAGCAGCATGAGAGACTTAGTTGGGGTTGTGAAAAATCCCATTGTTGATGCTGATTTGAATTACTCCAAGCCTCAGTGGAGGAGTTTCACCCTCTCTCAGCTCCAAGCTGCAACCAACAACTTCCACCAAGGTTAGTAATCTGCTTGGAATTTCACATCTTATTAAAGTTAAAAAGGATCAAACGTACCTTTGTTATACGAAATATCTTAATTATGCCCTTTGTTAATGACAAGGATATGAATAGCCCCAAAGTCTACGAGGTAAAATTAAAATACTTAATGTAGTATCGGGATAAATTTGGACCTTTATGCTTCGGTTAAATTTGTTGTAACATGATAACTTCTCGTATAGTTTCTGATGGTCAAATTTTGCATTTCATGCTGTAGGAAATTTGATAGGGAAGGGTGGTTATGCAGAAGTTTACAAAGGATGTTTAAAAAGTGGCCAATTTGTTGCAATTAAGCGGCTCACGAAGGGAAAGCAGGATGAGAGAACAGGGGATTTTTTATCTGAGCTGGGGATAATGGCCCATGTCAACCATCCAAACACTGCTAAATTGATTGGTTATGCTGTTGAAGGTGGATTCTATCTTGTTCTTGAGCTGTCTCCTAATGGAAGCTTGGCCAATATGTTGCAGGGTTCGTGCCTCTCATGGTCTCAAATATGGTGTCTATTTTTTACTTTGTTTATATTTCTTTACTGATTTTGCTTAGTGTTTTAAAGTGTCAAAGCAGAAACTAGACTGGAAAATCAGGTATAAGGTAGCTGTTGGGGTGGCTGAAGGGCTGCGATATCTTCATGAGGGAGGTCAAAGAAGAATTATCCACAGAGATATTAAGGCTGCAAATATATTGCTTACTAAGGACTTTGAACCTCAGGTAATATTATTATTTCAGCTTCATGAGTCCCATTTATATTAATTTTATCAAGTTGTATCATTGATATTCTGTGCCAAAATATTTCATTCCTGTTATTGGTATCAAGTCTTTCCATACTTACTGGAAATAGTATTTTAAATTTCTCACTTACTGACCTTGGTATCAAGAGAACTTATCCTGATGAATCTTCTTAAAGGGTATCGGGTGCTTGAACCTCAAAAAAGATCTGTTTTCATTTCAGATTTGTGATTTTGGCCTCGCCAAATGGTTGCCAGAGAGATGGACTCATCTCACTATATCGAAATTTGAGGGCACATTTGGGTTCGTATACTGTTTAGAGCTTCCTCAATTTCTTGTACTGCAGCTAAGGTTTCTAATCTAATATCAGTTTGTGTCTTGCTAAATTTTCTCATTAAACTTTGCAATTGAGAATGCAGCTACCTTGCTCCGGAGTTCTTAATGCACGGCATAGTAGATGAAAAAACTGATGTTTTTGCTTTCGGAGTGCTAATCTTGGAACTTATAACTGGACGTCGAGCACTTGATTACACTCAGCAAAGCCTTGTCATATGGGTATGCCTCTCTACTCTCTCTATTATCTTACTCACCATTGTATGTGAAAAAACAGAATCTGAATATTTCCTCTTTGCTTTTTCTAGGCCAAACCCCTGCTGAAGAAGAATAGAATAAGAGAGCTTGTTGATCCTTCACTTGCTGATGACTACAACTTATTGCAGATGAACCTCATGGTCTTGGCTGCTTCTTTGTGTATACAACAGTCTTCCATTAAACGTCCGCGAATAAGTCAGGCAAGTGCTGAACATTGCTTGATCAATTTAAATTTCTATACACACAACAAGTTCCTGATCAAACCACTATGATAATTGAGGTGGATGTATTGAACTCTAGGTTTTGAATATTAGTGGTGTTCTTTTACTCCATATGCTATATATTATAATGGTTCCAATCTTGGCAATTTTTATGTATTCTCATTTTTTCTTTCTATGGTTTTTATTGATAGTATTGATATATTGTCTCTTCTCGTCTTCTTGAGTCGAAGGTCTATCGGAAATAGCCTCTCTAACCCATCGGGGTAGGGTTAAGGTCTGCGTTACCCTCCCCAGACCCCACTAGCGGGATTTCACTGGGTCGTTGTTGTTGTTGTTGTGTCATTTGTGAAGAACTGAACTGAGCTTTGGATACAGGTTCTGCAGCTTCTCAAAGGCAACCGTGGCAGCCTAGATATAATCAGGAGATGTAGAAAATCTTCCGATTGGAAGAGGCATTACGAAGAACTCTTTAGTGCAGAAGAATGCAAAATGATCAGAGGTTTAAGTGGTTTAAGCATGCAGGAACAGATACCAATTGAAGTCTGAGATGACTCTGGCTTAAGGCTCAAACTGTGATATTGGGTTGACAAAACTAACAACACCCTTTGGAAGAGGGATAGGGGATTTAGGACCTTCGATTTTCGTTTCATGATTAATGGAAAGCATGGAATAATGCATCTGCGCGTATTTTTCTCCCTGCCCCATCATGAGACCTACCAAAGTATCAATGCAAGGAATCAGAGGCAGAGCCGGGATTTGAAGCTTATGGGCTCGGAATTTTAGTGGGTTCTAAATTAACAATTTGTACATATTCAATGGACTTCTTAAGACAAATATCAGGTTTGGACCAAAGCCACTGGGTTCGACTGAACCCGTAACCAAAGCGTTAGCTCCGCCCCTGGCAAGGATCTACAGTCCGTCCGCAACTACTGGATGCCAAAGGCGTCCTCTAGCTACTGACAATGGTAAATAAATGTAGTCGTCACACATTTACATTAAAATAAAAAAATAAAAGTGATAATAGTCACTATTATTATAGTGAAAGAATTCTTTATTTCTAATTCTATGATGCAATTGGAGCTTATCGGCAGAAAAGAATGACATAATTCAAGGAGAAAAAACACATAAATATACCAAAGAACAAGAATGACATAATTCAAGGAGAAAAAACACATAAATATACCAAAGCAAGTTCTGTTGAACTCCCTGAATGACACTAATGTTAAGCTCTTTGATTAAATTAATTAATGATGAAAAGAGAGTAAATTTTAGACAAGCATAATCTACTCTAGATCTAAGCACCATGAGTGTTGAAATCCAAGAGGTTGAATTTATATAACAAATCTCAGATCAAATGGAAGACATTAAATGTAAATGATAATCTTACAACTTCAGCATATTTGTATTTGTAGAAATAAAGAGGATAAAGGATGATTCTTGTTGATGACTACGAGATTTAGCTTTATTGATTCAACGAAGGAGATTGCACAGGTTTGCAGTCCTGAACGTGAGCTGCTTCTTCTTCTTCTTCTTCTTGCCCCTGGAGACCTTTTCTCTGTCTTCTCTGGTTTTTCGTCCCCCTTGCTTCTGCCTGGCCTTCCTTATATATATATATATATATATATATATATATATATATATATATATATATATATATATATATTGTCCATTTCCTCTTATAGCCAATGGTTCTTAACCAGCGTGCCCTCTCATGGCCGTACTCCTTCTTTACACGCCCATATGTTACGTTCTGCCGTGTAAGCCTTTTGATGGCGTGATCTCGGCAGTAGCTGAGATACTCGTCACCATTACGCCTCGTGAACACGACCACGGCTTGGCCGACCTCTTACCGTTTCCTTTAATAATAACCATTCGATGGTCAGATTTTGACCTATATAGTTAGTCCCTCCTCCCGTTGGGGTCGTCTTTTGGCGAGCTCGACGGGCGGATCCTGTCGATTCTATAATGTAGGAGAAATTCTGGACATTATGCGAGGACGGGGTCCTTACGGCTAAGCGAGGATGTGATGCTTCAAGGACCTTACCGAGCCGTCGCGTTAGTTCGGAGATGGATCGTTCCGTCGATTCAGGGTACCATGAATGCTCGTTTGCGTCATTGTGGCGCACATTTCCCAGGCACCGTATCGTTTCCTGTGCCCTTTCATTTTTTCTGATTGACAGCTCTCGGGTTTCCCGCTCAAGACATTTGTGTTCTTATAAATAGGGGGAATCCACCATTTGATTGTTATGCTCTCAATTTATCTGAGAGAATTTCACGAACTTCCCCCTTTCTCAGTTTTTCATACCTCTGCTTTCGTCAGAATTTGACGTGACCATCCTCTTTATTCCTTCGCCATTCTTGTTTATATTGATCAAGTTAGACAAATGGCTGGTACTTCTTCCCAGACCGATAGATTCGCCGAAGCTCCGATGCCGGAAAATGACGTACCCCTTCTTGAAGAGGGGATGGAGGTGGCGGAAGACGAGGGATTTCCGACAGTGGATGAGATACTACCCCGTCCCCAAAAATTAAGGACCGACTTCAACAGCCCTGTCGGAGACGAACCGGAACCTGTCCCTTCCACCATGGACGAAGCGGCAATTACGGCGCTCAAGGCCAAATGGGGAATCCCTGCTCATATCAAGATGGTACCGATAGCGGGGAAGGATATTGTTCATTTGCACCGCCCGGAATACTGCGCGTTTTACGCGTACCCCTTTGTTATCGGGTACACGCTTCCTCTTCCCTCTCTGTTGGTAGACTTCTGCCGGTTCTACGAAGTATGCCCGGCTCAGCTGTCCCCGTACGCGTACAAACTCTTCCTCATGCTTATCAAGTACGCAGAGCTTGCCGGACGAGGAATTTCCTTGGGGCACATGCTTCACATCTTTGCCCCTTATTTTCTTCGGGGTACAATGATCCATATGCGCCATCGAGGAACAAAGAGTTTGGTGGTGAAGATGGACGATAAGGCTAATTGCCGCTTCTAGGCGAGCTACTTCAATGTGCGGACAGAGCATCTTGTGGCGGATTCGGGAGGGTTTCCAGAGACGTGGAACTTCGCCCGTAAGTTTCCTTCTATTTATTTTGTGATTCCCTTTACGGCGGTCGTCGATCATTCTCCTTTAGGTGATGTTAGAGACTTGTTTTTGCCTTTGCAACAGAGAGACTACCTCCCCCGCTAGTTGATGATATCCGCGAGTGGGTGAGCGCAATTCTTCCCCATAGAATGGGTATTCGTGAGTGGGCGTCCTTCCATGAGAAATATGGGCGTAAGCCTCTCACTGGTGAGTCGGCCCGCTGCAATTTTCCTTCGTTCTTTGCCTCACGTTTTGGCCTTGCCTCTATATGATCGTCTTTCTTTGTCGACAGGGAGGGTACGAAGGACGAGGGCTCCTCCACTTGCATTTCGTCAGCCGGCACCCCTTGCCCGACCTACGCCGAGAGCCGCTTCCCGGCAGGCGCTGAATGCTGCTATCCAATCTGCGCCGGTGACCGTAAACATTCGTGCAGAGTCAACTCCTCAACCAGAGACTCTGGTTCCTACTTTCCGTTCAGCGGGCGAATCTTCCCGCGCCAGTAGTGGAGAGACTCCGCCGAAGAGGCGACGGGTGGTGTTAGAAGTGGCTCCTCAGGCTGAAATATCTGTGAGGGGCGACCCTGCCTTGGCGGTGCCCGAAACCGGCGATGATGCCAACCCGGCCGTAGAGGCTACGCCCGTTATAAGCGATCAACAAGCTGGAGCGGCAGAGAGACGGAGTCCCGAGGATGCCATTGCTGTCCTTGGCGGCCCTTCGACATTCCGGCCGAGCCGTGCTTCTTCTTCGGCCGACGAGAGGGGAAAAGGCATCATGGTTGATGATTACAATTCTGAATCCGACATCGATCCTGATGACGTTAGGATGTTCGAAGAGGGCTTTACCCGAATTGTGGTGAGAGCGGGAGGTCCCTCCCGAGTATTGGAGATTCCATCGGACCTCAACCTTCTGCAGGACACGGTGGATTTTATGCCGCAATTCAACCTTCTATGCTCTGCCGCAGAAAACGAAGGCTCTTCAGGATGTCAGTGACGCCGAACTGTCACGCGGCGTGGTCGTGATGGGTCTGAGGGTAAGTCCCCTTATTTGTTGATGTTATTATTTTTCTTTGTGACCTTGGTTTCTACCGACTTGTTTCTTCTCTTTGTTTTCAGTCTTATATGCTTGAGATCGAGAGTGCTCGTAGGGCCGAGACTCGAGCCGTGATTTTTCTGAAAGATGCTTGAGAAGTATCGGCGGTATCGCAACAAATGCCGCGAGATGCATGAGCTGCTCAAGGCGTGTACCGGCACCCAATCTATCAGGGAAGAGTTGGAGAAAAGGGATCAAGAACTGATGCAGTCCATCCGAAGATGTAGTGAGCTTGAGAACTGCTCCATGCTAAAGACGAGGAACTCGAGGTAGGAAAGGGAGTTGCCGCAGAATGCGAGGATCTTCAAGCGAAGGTGTTGTCTCTATAAGCCGAAATTGAGCAGAATGCTACTAGAGTTGAAGCTTTGAGTGCAGACTGGATGGGGAAGTTGGCCGAGCTGGAGAAAAAAGTGGCCGAAATGGAGAGTGCCGAGGAGGCTCGGTCCTCGGCTTTGGCGAGGGCGGCGGCGTTGGAGGATACCATCCGCGTCCTTCAATCTGAGCAGGAGTTTGAGAGCGCAACGACCACGCTGAGAGAGGCGCGGATCGAGGAGCATATTGGTGAAATCGATCGAGAGGCTTCGAGCCTAAGACACCGGGTCGTGGCACTTGAGACCGAGAAAGAACAATTGTTGGCCCAGATCGAGTCTGCCTCCTCCGCGGTCCCATGCCGCCTATACGAGCTATGGGTCTACGCCGAGGCTCAGCGAGATATTTATAAGGGTTTTTGGGAGGCGGGGACTGCCCCAGAGGCCACCTTTGAAGATGCTCAGGCAAAGGCGCGCGCGGCTCGCACCGCCTGTGGATACGACCTTGCTACTCCGGAAGTTGGGGAGGACATTGAGAACGAGGACGAACTCCCTTCTGATGGTGATGATGATGGGGAGAATGGAGGTGGGACGATGCGGAGTGAAGCTTTTTGCTGCACCCTATGTACTTAGTTTTTATTTTGTTCTTTCGTTGTTCATTTTCATCTTCTCCTAATGGCCCTTTGTAAGCGGCGAGTGTCGCGCGTGTATATTTGAATAAAATGGTTGTTTCTTCTTTCTTTGTGTATCCTTTGATTTTCTCCACGATGAGTCCCTGACTCTTTTGATTGCGAATCCGAACTTGTGGGTTTGGGTGAGACCGGTTTCTAGTTTGCCAACTTAGGTGGAATCAACCTTAATTCAGACGAGGTCGAATTAAGACTCGCCATCCTGAGCGAAGTTAATTTTTGAAATACATTCGAACGAGGTCGAAAATATGACTCGTTACGAGTTCGGGCGAGGACGGACCCTCCTTTCATGTAGCGATGGCCGATGGCCGTAGGGGTATTGTTTCAAGTAAGAGCGAAATTATAGCCCGTTGTGAATTCGAACGAGGTCGAGCTTTTTT